AAATGTTTCTGGCCAGCGATGTCTTGCCGTTTATGGAAAAATGATGCCCCTAAATCTTTCATAATTGTTTCATTAGACACAAAAACAAAGCCCGGAATGACTATAGGAAAATCTCTGTACCTCTCTGCACCTCAGCCTCTCCTCAGTCACGATGGAAAGAACAGCATCACTTTCTGAAGTTGCTTTGAGAAGAAGACAAATGGGGTGCTACTTAGTTATGATTAGTAGACACTTTGGGAGGCAGGCTACACCTACCACCAGGTATTTTAAGGTTAGGAAGCCCCTTCTTAAGGGATGAAGGCCATTTTATGGTGGGAGAACCAGGGAAGGCCCAAGGAAAGAGACTGGATGACTGCTTGCTTGCTTGCTTGATTGACTTGAGATAGGAAGGACTTTTAATTCGATCTTGCCTCTGAAACTCCTTTTGCTTTTTAGCTTCAAATAGAGTCGGGTGTTTCTCAAAAGCCACCTTATTTTAAAGTGGGAAAGAAGGAGCTGCTCAAAAGCTTTGTATTTGCTAAGCTTGTTTGTGATAGTTTCCTACCTCCTGGGGATTGAACCCAGAACCCCCTACATCATTTACCTGGGACGAGGGCCCAGCTTACCTTGGAGGAAGTGTAGGTAGGTAACAGTAGCCGAGTGATGTTTGCTAATTTGTTTATTTAGTGAGGGGTCTCATTAAAAAGTCATTTCCGTCGGGTGATTAAGGAGCAGCTCGGGAAGTTTTCTCATTTATCTGCTTTTGAGTTCCTGTTTTGAAGGTAGTTCTGTAAAGTTCTGTATCTTCATTTCAGCCTGTCATTTTAGCCCCAGGATTTTGGTCTTGGAAAGGGCGATTGCTTTTCAGATGGGATACACCCAGAGCTGTGGTGGGAGTTAGGCTGGGTGGGAGGTGTGGGTCTGGTTAGTTGACAGTATTCTTCAGTGGGATGACTCCAGTGTCTCCATCAGCAAGGTCATGACAAACTTTTTGGCTGGGTCATTATTTTTCTGCAGGATGCCTAGCCAACCTCTCTAAGCTTATGAGGGAAACTAACAACCTTTCCTTACGAGGCTGAGGTTGTCTTCATAATCAACTGAAATAATGTATTTGAAAGTGCTTTTAAAATCTATTATTGTGGCTAGTGGACATGCTATGAAATGCCAGCTAATGTTACTAGGAGTGCAAGGCAATATTTTGCCTAAAAGGTTCTGGGGTCAATTTTGACGTGTTGGGGTGGGAATGGTTCCCCACCACCAAGCATTCTCTGACACCAGTTGGGTTCGTATACTTCAACTCAGTTCTAACACTGTCTACCCAGAGATAGCATCAGATTCCATAGGTTGAGGGCTCAGTCCACAAGACTGCACCCTTCCCCATCCCCTCCCCCAACCTAACTTCAGACCCCAGTCACAAGTCCAGGTTATCACCTGTTTCGAACCAATTGGCTGTGGATTGGAGGTTCCAATGACCCTGCCTTGGCTTCCATTAATTTGCTCGAGCAGCTCACCGAACTCAGGGAAGCAACTTACTTGCTACATTGCCTTTTTATTGTAAAAGGATGTAACTCAGAAACAGCCAGATGGAAGTGGTGCCTTGGGCAAGGTCTGGGGAAAGGTCTGCCCTCTTCCAGTATGTTACTTACTCTTCCCAAGTCTCCATGTGTTCACCAACGCAGAAGATCTTCAAATCCCATCCCTTTGGGTTTTTATGGAAACTTCGCCACATAGGTATGACTGACTTAAATCACTGGCCACTGGTGACTGATTCAGCCTGGTGGGGATGGTTAATGGGACCCTCTCCTCTCCTAGCAAGTCTTGGGGTGGGACTAAAAGTTCCAACCCTCTAATCACACAGTTGGCTCCTCTGGCAACCAACCCCCACCCCTCAGGTACTTTCCAAAAGGCACCTCATTAATGTAAAAAAAAGACACCTTCGTTGCTTACCATTTAGGAAATTTCAAGGGTTTTAAGAGTTCTGTGCCAGAAAAGGAGATGAAGACCAAATACATCTTATTATCAATCACCATATCACATGCCCAGTGGGAGGAAGCCGATTTATACACACACGTGGCAACTTTTCAAAATATGTCCTCTGCTGCCCTGTTCACTGATCTCCCTCCACACCTATTCTCATCACTTCTTGCTCTCTCTCCAATTTGCATAGTATATTCACAGAAGTACATTCTTCCATTCAGATTTAGCAGCTAGAGCATTGTACTTGTGCTATTCTGTTCTGAGCGGAGTGAACATTGACTACACATTATTCTTTACTTGGGGAACACTGAGAACAATTCAAAGCCAAGGGCGTGTCGTAACACTGCTTAATAATCTGATGTAACACAGCCCATGCTGGGGATAATATGCATGTTTTCTTCAGGGCTGGTGTGTTAGACCTGCTTTCTAGGGCCAGGGTGTCATTCCTAAGCACAATATGTCTTTTTTTGTGGGGGTGGGTGGGGGAGGGGAGTGGTAATTAGATTTATTTATTTATTTATTTATTTATTTATTTATTTATTTATTTATTTTAATGGAGGTACTGGGGATTGAACCCAAGACCTTGTGCATGCTAAGCATGCGCTCTACCACTGAGCTGCACCCTCCCCTACACAGCACAATATGTCTTAATTAATCAAATTAATCAGGCTCTGGAAGCTGAGAAAGGCAAGAAAAAAGATTTTACCCTGTCAACACCTTGGTGTCAGCCAGTGAGACTCACATCAGACGTCCAGGTCACAGCATTGCAAGATACCAAGTTTGTGTTGTTTCAGGCCACCAAGTTTGTAGTAATTTGTTACAGCAGCAATAGAAAACTAATACATAAGGAAAATGTATTATTCTTAAGCGTGAGGGGACAATATTAAGAGTAGGGAGCTGCTTGACTTCCTGGTTCCTCAACCCTCGGCTCTAGGCAGGTGATCTGTTTGTCCATTTTCAGAATCGGTCTCATTGCCACCAGGATCAGGATCACTTCTTCTTCTTCTTTTTTTTTTTTTTTGGACTGAAGTAGTCAGTTCACAATGTTGTGTCAATTTCTGGTATACAGCATAATATTTCAGTCATACGTGTACAGACATAGATTCCTTTTCATATTCTTTTTCATTATAAGTTGCTACAAGATATTGAATATACCTCTCTGTGCTATAAAGTAGAAACTTGTTGTTTATTTTATATATAGTACTTAGTATCTGCAAATCTTGAACTCCCAATTGATCCCTTCTCACCCCCTTCCCCTGCTGGTAACCATAAGTTTGTTTTCTATATCTGTGAGTCTGTTTCTGTTTTGTGAATAAGTTCATTTGTGTCTGTTTTTAAGAGTCCACCTATAAGTGATATCGTATGGTATTTTTTTTTCTCTTTCTGGCTTACTCCACTCAGACAATCTCTAGGTCCATCCATGTTGCTGCAAATGGCATTATTTCATTCTTTTTTTGTGGCTGAGTTGTATTCCATTATACACACACACACACACACACACACACACACATATACATATATACACACCACAACTTCTTTATCCAGTCGTCTATCAATGGACATTTGGGTTGTTTCCATGTCTTGGCTATTGTAAATAGTGCTGCTGTGAACATTGGGGTGCACGTGTCCTTTTGAATTAGAGTTCACCAGGATCAGTTCTGATCCCAGCAATAAACTTATGGAATGCATATTGAGTATAAGATATGAGTATTAAACTGAACTCCTATGCCCAGTATTTCTGAAAAGCCTTTCTTAGCTCCTGGCTTCCTTTTGCACAGGTGATGTGGCCTCATTTGAACCCAGTTTTATGCTGTGTCTGCTCCTGTCTCCAGGGCCACACTCCTGGTCTGGAAGTATCCCTCCACCAGACATCACTACAAACTCATGCCCACCTGGACCCCATGCTTGCTCCACCTTGATGTAGCTTCTTCTCCCCTCCACTTCCTTCCTGCTTGGAATTTTGTTTTATGCCTGTGTGACACAGGAAGCATGTATTAAAATGATGTACTGGCCATACCTGCCTTCCTGCCCACCAGAGAGAACGAGTGCCTTGTGTGCTCAGATCACTAGAGGGTCTCTGTTGAAATAAGCAGGGCGATTGGCAGTGAGGAGAACTGAAGTCCTGAGAGGAGACTGAACTTTTCCATCCATCACAGAATAAGGAAGAAAATTTTATTAGAAGATTGAAGAAAAGAGGAAGTAGAGATGGATGAGTGCTAAGCTGTAGAACTTTTGAGGGAAGACTCAAAGAATATTTAAAAGGGTTTCCTAGGTAAAATGTGTGATGTAATCTTCTCGTTGCTTCCTTAAGAAACACTCGGTAAGTGCTGGATTTGTGGGAGACTGGATGCATGGACTCCGCGGGTGGCCTTCAAGTACGGGCAAGATGACCCCAAAGAGCCCGAGTAGTTTCAGATGGTGAGAGTGAGGAACAGGCAAAGGGAGGGTGCAAAGTAGGCTTTGCGTTTTTTTTTTTTAACCTTTTTTTGGGGGGGGGGTAGTAATTAGGTCTATTTATTTATTTTATTTCAGGACAAGATCCTGAACCCAGGATCTTGTCCACGCTTAGCGTGCACTCTACCATTAAGCTATACCCTCCCTCCAAAGTACTCTTTGAATAGGAGGTCTCTCATTAGGGGTATCTGTTCAGTACTCAGGGATTCCTCAGAAGGGTTGCACAAAAAAGCTACACCTCAGAGAATTCCAAGATGAAGAGAAAGGAAAGCATCTGCCTGTTTCATCCTGGTTCCCTTTCCCTTGGCCAACGTTCACCCTACACAGAGCTAAAGCTTCTGAACTCCCAGGTGGCATCATCTGGCCACTCTGTGACCATTCAGGAAATTAATTTCACACCTTGTGGTGTGGCCATTTCCTTCAAGTCTGGAAGTGGGGAGTGACTCACGTGGTGGAGACAAAAAGAAAGAACACAAGGGCAATAGAAGGACAGCTGAGAAGGCTAGAAACATTTGTCTCTGTAACTGAGAAAAACTCGTATTTAAATCTTGCTCCAAATTGTGACTCATGCCCCCCTACCCCTCCGCCCCAGGAGAGGAACCGCTCCTGGAGGTACGGCAGTACCAGGTCAGTGTGTGCAGTGGACGGAGCAAGCTCCTATTCCAACTCCCTGCTCCAAAAATCCATTTAATATATTGTCTTTGGACAGAGGACATAGCAGATATTAAACTGATAAGAACAGATACTACACTTGATCCTAGCCCAAAGGCTGCAAAGCAATATGAATCATGTTTTTAAGTGCATGGTTAATAAATGTGTGAACTTAAGTGTTTTCATAAAGACATATGGAGAACTCTTTGAAAGAGTAGGGCGTCGTCTCCTAATGCTAATTGATAATGCCTGAGAAATCTTATCTTTAGACTTCCAGATTGTAACCGTAGCACCCCCGTCCCACCAGGAAGCAGCTTCTACCATTTGGTTTAAAAAAACAGAATCAAATTATTTAATTATCTAAGTAATAAATACGTATATTTTACTAGTTTAAAAAAAAATTAAGTTCCAGGTGAAGGGAGTTGCATTACTGTTAACACCTTGCTTTTTTCTGCCCTTTCTTAACTCTGCCTTGAACTGAAAGAGGGCATGATTTAATTGGCAGATTTGGGGGGGAAATAAAATGGACACGCTCAGCTCATTCCCATCCACTTTCCTCTTTGAAATCCAGCCAGCGTGAGATCGGCGCCAGGAGCAGGCTGACTCTCCTACCCACAGCGAGGCAAGTCTACTTTGGATCAGATCGAGTTGCTGGATCTCATCCTGAGGCTTGCTTGTTGGGAAACTCTCCTGACTCCCATAGTAAACTGAGCCCTGCAACCCAGCTATCTCAGGAATTAAGTTATCATTTGATTTTCTTCTCTTATTCCTGTATCTCATTTCTTAATTTGTTTTGAACTCATAAAAGAAGGAACAGTGCTTTTTATGGGGTGCCCCTTCAATGTTCCCATTTTTGATGCATTGGCCGCAAAACTGACATGTAACAAATAAGGAGAAAAGGCAGAGAGGAGCAAATGGAGACACGCGGAGTGATCAAGGTTTGCAGCGCGGTAGGGATTGGCCTTGACCCTGGGCTCTTATTCTTGAATATGCAGGACATTTTGATCTTGGCAGTTTGTATAGGCTTATATTGGACCAGGTAGCTTTTTATGGTGGTGCAGTTGGCTGTTAAGAGCTGTGGCTGGGGAAAAAGACCTTGGAAAAGCCACTCAGAGGCTGTAAGAGGGCCTTGGCATGGGCGCAGGGGCCAGGAGCTGAAGAGGCCTTAATAAGCAGTTACAGCTGAGGCAGGGATTCAATTATAAGGAGAAAGAAACAGTCTTTTCGTATACCGTCCTTTTAGATATTAAAGGAGTGGGAAAATATTTGCTGTTCTTAAAACTGTGGGGCCCTGGGTTCTCTCTGGACCACAGAGCATTAGTGAGAGTTTAGTGTTCGGTGCACAAGTGCGAGGCCTAGGTGGGTAACATAAACAAACAATCCTACTTTAAATTCCTCTTTTATGTTGTTTTGAACCACCTTCAAGGGCAAAAGCGGGCGGGATAGATGGACTAAGTTTGAATTCATGTGGCTCAAGAATTACTCCCTCTCCTTGTCCTCAAGGCTGCTGGGAACTGGTTATTTAGATATGGTGGAGAAATGCTCCCCAGTGATGGTTTTCTTAGGTCTGAGGAATTCCACAGGAACAGGTAGTGGGCAGAGCCATCTCAGCGCAGGAAGAAAAATGCTTCCTGGCTGTTGTGGGAGCTCTGTCACTAGACAGAAGTCACCTTCATGGCAGTGCTGCGGTGCAGACACCTGAGGTTCAAAAAGGAAGTAAAAATGAAAAGGTTTTGTATATCCGCGTGGGAAAGAACAGCTCCTCAAATAAAATCTGACGACTGAGTGTGTTGCCACTGCATGTCTCTGAACTTTGCAAGAACACAATGTCTTGCTCAGATGTCTTGCTGGAGAGAGGAGACAGCCAAACTTTAAAGAATGCCACCGTGAAAGAGAGATAAGAAATCCAACAGATGATAAAACTTCCATCTGGGACAACAGAGTTAATAGCGCAAGACGATTAGGGCTTTGAAATAAGTATGACTTGTATCATCAAAGGAATGTGAAAGCTTAACACACATTATAAATAAGAGTAAACTAGAGATTGTGGAATTTCAATTGATTGTTGAAGTAATTTAATATGCTAAATGAATTTGTTGAAGAACAAATTAATGAACTGGGAGACAGAGCTAAAAAATTCTCCCAGAGCAGAGCCTAAATGGGAGAGATGGGATGTATGAAAGAAAAATCAAAAGGTATGGAAGATAGGTCCAGAATTCTAACTTTAATAAGAGTTCCAGAAAGAGAGAATATACAGTAAAGAAGAAAGGCAGAACGTTTTAAATAAATCATTCAGAGAAAGCTGTGTCCTCAGATCGAAAGGTCCCTACAAAATCTCCACAAATAGTGTGGAGTTTGTGAATAGAAAAGATAAAGAGAAAAATGTTTTAATTTTCCAGGGAAGACAAATAGAATGCCTACAAAGGAAGGAGCATCAGATTGACATCAGACTTCTCATTGGCAACACTGTTTTAAAATATCAGTGCAATGTTATCTTCATAGTATTAAGAGACAGTAATGTTTAATCTAGGAGTCTTTTAGGACCAATCAAACAGAAGAAAAAGATGGGGGAACTTTTCCTACCAGACTTCCACCTTTAATATGAAGTCATTAAATCAGTGTGATATTAGTGCATGGATGGACAAATGAACAATTAGGAACAGAACAGAGACCTCAGAAACAGCCCCATCCATCTATGAAAACATGATTTATATAAAACTGACACTCGAGATCTATAGGGAAAGAATGAACTATTCTATCAGTGATGCTGGCAGATGATGCCCATTATACATATTTAGGATTCCTAGCTCATATCATGTAACAAAAATGAATTCCAGATAAGGACCCAATGTGAAAAATAATTTTTAGAAGAAAACATTGGAAATATTTTTTATAGTCTTGCCTTTTAGGGCAAAAGGAAGTCAAAAACCCAAACCAAAAAGGGAAAGAATTGATAATTTCAACATTAAAATTAAAAAAAAGATACAAATGTCTGCTTATTTAAAGACATCATAAAAATGGAATGTAGCAAGAAGTTATAATCTGAAAGAAGATACTTGTAACATATGAAATATTGCACAAAGATTAGTATCCAGATTACATGAAGAACTCCTACAAATCAATAAAATACAAATAACCCATTAGAAAAAAAATACAAAAAATTAAAAATTCACAGAAAAGAAAAACCAAATGAGAAATAACAGGATGATGAACCTTGCTACAAATCATAAAAACCCAGAGAAAAACAAAGTGATTCAATGTTTTAGCCAGTTGGCAAAAAAATAAATAAATAAATAAATGTGAAGATACCAGTTGTTGGTGAGAACATGGAGCCATAGGACTTATTATGTACCCCAGGAAGGAATGTATATTGGTATGTCCACTTTGGAGAACAGTCTGGTAATGTTTAGAAGAGTTATGAATGCACATAATCTAGGGCCAACAATTCTGCTTGGAGGCCAATACTTTAGAGAAACTCTTGCCATAGTAAGCCTTGGATGAGAATGTTCTGAGCAGCATAGTATAAAAGCAGAAAAATTACAAACATACGTCAGTAGGAAAATGAGCAGTTAAACTGGATTCTATTAACAAAAAGACCCCTACAAAAGAATCTGATGCGATTACGATTAAACTTGAGCTACACGTTTCATATAGCGATGGCTTTTGCAAATGTATTGAGTGAAAAAAGCAAGTTGCTGAAAAGAGATATTCAGTAAGATATCGTTTATATAAAGTATAAAACAGGCAAAAGAGTATTATATATGATTCAGGGTACATACGTAGTACTCAAAGTATAATCAAATGCATGGAATGATGAGCACCAAATGTAGCATGGTGTTTACCACTAGCTGGAAAAGAGGAGTATGTGATCACTAAGAAAACAGACCAAGATAAGTCACTATAGAGAATTTGAATCAGATAACTGAAATCTTGAACATGTATGCAAACATACATGTATATATGCTTGTATCAGCAAGAAGAGAAAGAGCATTCTTTTCAAATACACATAAAACATTCACGAAAACTGAGCATGTTTCCCAAACTGTATACTGTGGGTGACTGAGTGGGAGCAAGGATAGGCCAGAGGCTTTTGGGGACTGTGGCCCGACTCCCACTGGCATCTTTATCTGGGTATCTAAGTTCCTTTTAGTTTACCCCAATTAGAGGCACAAATATAGTTTTCTATATGTATCACAGCACCAAAAAGTTTGGGGAGCAGTTACCTGAGAATGAAAAGGTGCTCAACAGATTTCAGGCCACCAGCAATGATTATAAAATAATACAATAGAAACTGAGGCTAAAAAGAACCATCCCCAAATCTCTCTACATACATACATATTTATTTATTTTTTAAATTAATTTACTTATAATGGAGGTACTGGGGATTGAAGCCAGGACCTCTTGCATTCTAAGCACTCTTTCTACCCCTGAGCTATACCCTTCCCCCACCGCCCCCATACTTAACAATTAAAAATAAGAAGAGACATTTAGATAATTTTGTCAAGTATAAGTTGCAAATTATTTAGAATTGAACAAAAGCCCGTGGAACGGGATGAAAGAAGAAAATCTGTAGCTTTAAATGTGCTTTTTATAAAACAAGAAAGACTGAAAATAAATGCCTAGGCTTTTAACCCAAGAAGCTAAACAAAACATAACAAAACAAAGCCAAAGAAAGTAAAAGGAAAAAATAATAAAGATAAAATGGGAAACTAATGAGGGTACATGCTTGCAGTCTATATTTTTATTAGCTAAACATGGCAAGCCTAAAATTAAGGAAAAATACAAAATGAAGAATAGGTTCTTGACAAGAACAAGCAATTAGATAAACTTTTGGGAAGTTTAGTCAAGAGAAAGGAAAAGATAAAATTAACATTGGGATAGAAAAGAGACATAATACTCACAAAGAGGAAATTTCAAAGACCAAAATATATAATGTATACCAATATATTTAACAAAATAAACAATTATTGAAGACTACCTAAATTAAAAAAATTGAATCCATAAGAAGCAGAAAACCTGACCAGACCCATAACTGCAAAAGAAATGGACTGGTTGTCAAAGAAATACCTAGCAAAAATAAAAAACTGAAAAAAGAAAAAAAAAGAACAAAAACAACAACAAAAAACAAAA